TACACATTACAACCTCGTTCAGCAAAATTCCTGAGCGGATCGTCACCCATAACCCATCCGTTGTGAGCCATCAAGAACTGTGAACTATTGTCATCGAACGCCAATTCTTGTTCGGCAATCAGATCCAAATCCGGCCCTTTATGTGTGAAATATTGCCAAACGAGTGGATGTTTGAGGGAAACCTCTTTCTGTTTGGGCCCCCACTCGTCAATTCGCTCATATCTCACTGATTTGATCACATTCTCAATGGCAGCCGACAAGTGATGGTTTATCTCGTTTTTAATATTCTCGTTAAGAATTGTTAGCTTATGTCTAATGTTTTCGGCCGACGAATCAACCCATTGATCAGTATTGCCGTCAAAATCAATTTCATTGCTCACTATTTTCAACGCGATATTCAAATCAATTGTCGATTGAAATCGTCTGTATTTTGAGTCCGCAATGATCTCTAGATTCGGTGAATTTTCATTCAATTTGCGTGGATTTGATTCCAAACAATATTTCTTAAGAAACTCTTTAAATTGCTTCACAATAGCGTTGATGTCAACCAAATAGAGTTCCGCAATATTTAACTATAATTAACAAATTATTGTTAGATTAGGGCAACAAAAAGTTCACTCATTATTGATTACAATTGGTAAATATTCTTCGTGAAGAACACTTCGAATGGCATTCAAGTGATCCTCTGTGTTGACAGCAGTGGTCAGACCTCTTGATGTCCACCGATCGGCGATGATATCGCACGTCAAGTGATGAAGAATTCTGTCCAACAAATAGGCCGATCGCAGCCACGGACTGTTAAGACAGTTGTAGGCGCACTCGGGATGTGTCTGAAGCCACGGCGACTCATTGGCCGTATGGTTGAGCACAATGTCAGTCAACGACAATATCTGCCACTCTTTTCGCATCCATTCGATGAGTTGGGAGATGTCTTCAAACGTGCACTCCTTGTCCGGCGCACTAAATATGGGATTCACTTTCAACTGATCCGACAGACAGTACGACGAGTTGGAAGCGCCGAGTTCTTGGATTGGAGTGAAATGAATCAAATTATATCCAGTTTTCTGAGCGACCTATCGATTCAAACACAAGTTTGTAAACAATTAATTATTTAAAAAGTAAATTATAAGAACCAAAACAGACCTCCAGTTTTCCTTTCCATGTCTCAAATGTGGCCAAACTTTTGGCTAAGACTGTCTGACACTGAATGGCATTCAAATCCAATAGGGATTCGGTGGCATCGGATCCCACTCTGAGCTGAGGATTGACCACAATATAAAACTGTCCGCAAACAGAATCGGCGGACAACTCCTTGTAGTAGAAGTGAAAGGAACCGCTCGTCTCGAAAGTGATTGTCGACACCTGACCGGTGAAGACGAGTTCGTGGTATTTGTATCGATCAAAGTGGACACTCTTTTGGCAATAATTGGTGAAGAGAGCGATGCGTCGGCCAAAGAGAGAGGAGCCGTACGCGAACTGAACGCTATCCTTATTATTACATCTGTAGAGTACGGACTGGCGGTCAGAATCGGCCTCCAGATTGAGGACGTAAACCAATTTACGATTACTCGATGACATGTTTTTACT